AAAAAAAAATTCAGCCAGGCGTGGTAGTGTGTGCTGGTGGTACCAGCTATTCAGGAGGCTAAGGTGGAAGGATCGCTGGAGGCCAGCAGGTCAAGACTGCGGTGGCCGGGAGTGTGCCACTGCACTCCAGCCTGGGCAAACAGAATAAGACTCCAAAACAAAAAAAAAAAAAAAAAAAAAAAAAAAAAGAAAGAAAGAAAAAGGAAGAGGAAATTGGGATCTAGAAAATCTAGAAAGACAAGGATTTGAACAAAGGATCACATCCTAGCAGACAGAGTCAAAACCAAAGTCTGACTTGTTACACCATCTGAACAGGTGTAGCTTGTAGGCATCAGTCTCTTGACACACGACCTGAAGTGAGAAGAGCTGGGGCTCCTTCCCAGAGAGAAACCAAGTGCACGAGTCAGACCCTAAGACCGCTTCATATTTAGAAGATCAAACTGAAACGGACTAACCCAGCACCGGCCACAATCACTGGACAACCAGGACAGATATTTCCAGCAGGATGGAGGAAACCACGAGTGGCATCTCCCTGAGCCATGCCTGGTGCCCCCTCCCTCAGGGAGCAGTTTTAACTCCTCAGCAGGACGTCTTGTGAAAGCAAAAGAAATATTGAACAGCAAAAATAAAAGCATGGATGACAGCAGATGTGTCCTTTGAGGAAGGCAGAAGGAAAATCTCTAGGGTTACAACATACAAGCAAAGAAAAGTGCTATAACCCTGGGGCCAACTGTTTGTTTTTCCCAGCCACACAAAAGAGGAAAGGAAAAAAGTCCCGGTTTCCTTGGTTCCCTTAACTGTCGTTGGCAAAGGGACCCATGATCAACCAAACAAGCGTGAAATGTTACTTTGGGGACATGTTTAAAAGCCCCCCATAGCTCTCACTTCCAGCTCCTTCTCTTGCTTCAAATGAGAAAGTACCCAGGAACCAGGTACTTTCCCGTGTGATGAAGGTGCTGGTGTCCGCTGTGTTCTTATTACTAGTCATGTCTGCTCAGAGTGTGACCTCTGCCACGGAAAATCAGAATCTCGAGAGCAAAGGTACTTTGCGGATTGTTTATAATCTTCTTTGACATTGAGAAGTTCACTATCATTATCCGAGTCTAGAGTTTGGTAAACAGGCCACGGGGTAACTTGAATGGGACAATTTGGGCTTAGGATCCCAAAGGCTCAACATTGGTGACAGATGCAAGGGACTGAGATACAGCTGGCTGCTGTCCGAGGATGCAATTGCAGCTTCAGTGTATACTAGGGTAAGGAGGAAACAGCCCTCCTGCTCTCTGCTCATAAACTGGCTATGGGGGAAGGGATCAGAAAAAAATCCCAACTATGCTCAGTATTGCACAACTTCATACGTCATGGAGGGAGGTCGTCACAGCCACTCCCTGGAACAGGATGAGAATTCTCAGGGCTCTGCTTGGCACCCGCGAGGGAGGAGGTGCTTCCTCGCTGGTTCTGGCTTTTACTGATGATAAATCAGCTTAATGCTCTGCATTTCTAACCTCTCAGGAATCAAAGAAATCCTCTGCCTGAGGACCATTTATATACAGGTTCTAGAAGGGCGGGGCAGCTTCACCCTGCCCCCGGCCCCTGCCCCGTGGCACGCACTGGCCACAGATGAAAGTGCCTGGTGGTGCTGGGCACTCGCCCCAACAATGCTTAGTCTGTCCTTTGTTTCTATCACTGCTGTCAATACCACATGGGGTAAGGAACCAAAAACAGAACCCAACCCCAAACTGAAAGCATCCAGCAGCCCTGGGGCACTGCCACACAGTCACTGCCTGTCACAAAGGGGGACACAGCCCTGCTCCTGGTTTTTGGGGGAGTTCTCTCCTGAGGAGCTCTAAGTATTCTCCAGGCTGATGAACTCTATCAGGGTCACAACAAATTTGGGGAGAAGAGAGACAGTGATTGTGTCACCTTCATTTGAAGGATGGAAGCAGGGCCAGAACCAGCCACGCTGTCACTGGCAAGACTCAAGTCTTCTGATTCCGGAGTGGGTTAGGGGTGTTTTTTGCCCCACCGTGATGTCTACCATGCAGCACAAGGAGGTAATATTACAACTAATCAACTCTGGAATCAGTTCTCACCGCCAAAAGGCAAAAGGCGGAAGATTAGACATCTTGTTTCAAAAACCACCTTTGTTACAGACTTGTTTTTAAAAGCTTAGCCTCAGGAACATTTGTTTTTTATGAGTTCAGCTACAGGCAAGCAAATCCCATGAGAAGATATCGTCTATACCCATGTCTTTCAAACCCTGGCACTGGAGGAAAGGGGACAGGAAATGAGGATGTCAGCTTCCTGAATAACTTTCTACTTCTGGCTTGGGCCTCTCTTCCTGACAGTGACTTGCCTCTCAAATTAGAGCCGCACAGCTCTTTCACCACCGCAGTGACCTCACATGGTTCCTTCCTCTCCATCTATGGCAAGGAGCCAGGATCCCCACCCCACTGAGTTTCTACCAACCCTGGCTCTAGCCACTGGTGGTGCCCCACGTACCCTGGGGAAGCATTGACTCAGAAGAAGAACTTGGGCTCACCCAGAACAATCACTTACACAACCAGATGTTTGGGGCCTTACAGGATTTTGCTGTGCAAGTCATCAAACACGTCTCAAAATCATCTTGGGAAGATTCCCACGGAATATTGGCTTATACAAAAGGGAGAGAGAAAAGGAATTAAAGGAGAGAGAAAAAGAGCAAGGCAAGACTGAGTCTCTGTCGTCTGTTTTCTTCAAGTATGTTTATCTTTGTGTTTAAAAGATGCCTCTCAACTTGGTGTCTGCACTTGAAGTTCAAGGGTTCCATCTGATCTTAGTAGTTCAAAAGAATGAGAAGGACAAGAACTACCACTACCATTCTGCCTTTTTTTTTTTTTGAGTTGGAGTCTCACTCTGTCGCCCAGACTGGAGCGTAGTAGCACTCTCGTGGCCACCGCAACCTCAACCTGCTGGGCTCAGCCTTCCAAGTAGCTGGAACTATAGGTGCACATCACCATGCCTGGCTAACCACTACCATTCTTAAACTCTTTTAGTTTCTTTTTTTTTTTCCCCCTGAATTGGAGTCTCACTCTGTCACTCAGGCTGGAGTGCAGTGGCACACTCACGGCCACCGTAGCCTCGACCTGCTAGGGTGATCTTTCCACCTTAGTCTTCCAAGTAACTGGAACGACAGGCACGTGCTACCACACCCAGCTAATTTTTTTATCTATTGTAGAGATGAAGTCTCTCCAAGTTGCCCAGGCTGATCTCGAACCTGTGGGCTCAGGCAATCCACTCACCTCGGCCTCCCAAAGTGCTGGGATTACAGGTTTGAGCCACCATGCCCGGTCTCACTTTTGGTTTCTTAATGAGAAGCTCTGGAAAAAACCAGGAAGTTTTAGGTTCTGTCCAGCATTTTGAATTCTGACCTTCTCGTGCCTTCAATAATTGTTCGTAGACATTGCTTGAAAACATCTTCAAATGGACTTGTCAGTAGACAGTTCTGCAGGTAAGGAGAGGAGACAGATTTAGAGGCTAGGTGTTTCGTGTTCATTCCCTTGTTTAACATTTGTTAGATAAACCTTAGGTGTCAGCTGTTGGGCTAGGAGCTGAAGCAGATACAAAGATGGAGAAGATGTCTAGTCAAGGGCAGGAGGAGACAGAGTAATCCTTTTGGATGCAGTCTGAGAGAAACTAAAGGAAGAGTACTTTGAAATCTTTTCCATGGAAGGAAAAATATCTTGAGACAAAAGACAGGAGGCCCTAGGCCTTGACCACAGAGCTGCCCCGGGAAGGGCCATCTGTGCTTTATAGACAGGACAGCAAGACTTGAGGGTATCGGCAGGGAAAGGAACCTTCACAAGGCAGCCCCGTGACCCAGACACCTGCATTTGTTTCAGTGCTCTTGTGTACTAGGGCCAAGCGTCACAAGCAAAGAAACATGAGATCTGACATATTGACATATCTCTCTCCCCCAGCTTCCAGATAGCCTGCGTCCTGGTGAAATGAAGCCCTCAAATTCAAAACCTTTATTAAAAATGCCCTGCTCCAGTGTTTTTCTGATTAGTCACTGGGATTCATTTCGTTTGTTATGGATGTGGGATGAACGCCAAAAGATAAACGACGGCCTGATCGAACACAAGTATCCAGGATCCCTCCCCACCCAGTCTGAGTCACTTACCTCCACCTGTTCATGCTTGGCATCCAGAAAAGGACCAAACTGCAAATAAGTGGGGGGTGGGGGGGGAAAGAAACAAAGGCATCAAAAGAGCAAATCAGAATCACATGTGTCTGTGAATGACTCTGGATAACTTACTCTAGCAGTTCTCTGCCTGGGGTCCATCTGTCCCTCCAAGGCTGCCTGTGGAGTCTGGGGACAGCTAGCAGATGGGCTGGGGGCACCTGGCCAATTTCAGCAGCAGAAGCGCATGAGCCCTGGATGGAGGGAGGCTCCCAGGACCCCACAACCAGCACAATGGCTCCCTAGAACACTGGACTTTTTGTGACTTTCTCTTTTTTTACAATTGGAAAACAGTTTACTTAAAAAGTGAATGAGAGAGAGAAAGAGAGAGAGAGAGAGAGAGAGAGAGAGAGAGAGAGAGAGAGAGAGAGAGAGAGAGAGAGAGACCTTCCCAAAGTAGGAGAGGGGGGCAAAGTTTAGGAAACATGGTAGCGGTCATAGCTCAATGAGCCATGTGGACACACCTGAGTTTACCAAAGCCATGGCCAGAAAGTAAATTAGAGAGGAGATTCAACTCGCCAAGGTAGGGGAGTAGGGGAGGAGGTCAAAGCTTAGGAAAACATAGCCTGGCTAGTGCTTCAGAAAACAATGGCCTTTCTGACTTTCTAAACCTAGCAAGGGAAATCAACCACCGTGCTAACAGTAGTACTCTGACCTTTAAAAAGAGATTAGACAGTCAGGCTTGGTGGCTCAGCCTGTAATCCCGCGCCTTGGGAGGCTGAAGTGAGTGGATTGCCTGAGCCCGCGGGTTCGAGACCCGCCTGGGCAACTTGGCGAGACCTTACCTCTACAATAAATCAAAAAATTAGCCAGGCATGTTAGCGCTCGCCTGTAGTTCCAGCTACTTGGAAGGCTGAGGCAGAAGGATCGCCAGAGCCCAGCAGGTCGAGGCTGCAGTGGCCGGGAGCGGCCACTGTACTTCACTCTGGGCAACAGAGACTCCAACTCCAACTCCAAAAAAAAAAGACATTAGAGTGATGAGACAGAAGCAAGAATACTAACAAATCAATGGAGGGTGGCAAAAATGTTGGACTTTTAAATTTAATGAAGGCTTAGAGATCACATACACCTCTCCAGAGATGTAGATTATGGAGATATAGAACTAAAAAGGTTGTTGAGACAGGGTCTTGCTCTGTTGCCCAGGCTAGAGTATAGTGGTGTGAGAGCATAGCTCGCTGCAGCCTAAAAGTCCTAGGCCCAAGTGATCCTCCTGTCTCAACCTCCCAAAAAGCTTAGACTCCAGGAATGCGCCACCACAACTGGCTAATTTATTTTCTGTAGAGACCAAAACTTACTATGTTTCCCAGGCTGGTCTCAAACACCTGGCCTCAAGCGATCCTCCCATCTCAGCCTCCCAAAGTGTTGGCTTAGATAGTTTTAAAAAGGAGGATAGTTAGGCGTGGTGGCTTAAGCCTGTAATCCCAGCACTTTGGGAGGTGGAGGTGAGAGGATAGCCTGAGCAACTTGGTGAGACTTTCGTCTCTACAATAAATAAAAAAATTAGCCAGGTGTGGTGGCACATGTCTGTGGTTCCAGTTACTTGGAAGCAGGATTGACTGAGCCCAACAGGTTGAGGCTGCGGTAGCCATGAGCATGCCACTGCATTCCAGCCACAGAGTGAGACTCCAACTCAAAAAAAAAAAAAAAAAAAAAGACAGACTGACGTGCTTCCTAAAAAGTTGGAACTGCACTCAAACCCCTTTCTAAGGCTTACTCCCCAGTTTTCCCATGGGTGCTCTTACCAGGACGCAGACATCTGGCCGGTCGTGATTGATGACAGCAATCAGGTCATGCAGGGGGTCGTATGTGATGCTGTCAGACGTTGTATATGGCCCACAGGCAGCGAGGACCATGCTCTGCTCAAAATCTAAGACAGAAAGGATCACAGGTCTTGCTTGGAAGAAGATTTGATGCTGGAACGGGGGGAGAAAGGACAACCACGGAAAATGCCCCAGGATTCAACTGATTGAATCTCCTCATGTGAGCGACCCTGGGACCCAGGATGAGAACTCATTTCCACCCTCTAAGAACACTCGCTAGGTCAGACAGGCAGGTAAGCAAGTACCTAGAACACACGGAAGGCACTCAGTGGTACACATGAGTGATGCAAGAGAGTGGCAGTCAGGAAAGAATCTGCCAAGGGGAGATTTGCTGACACTCAGGATTTTCTGGGAGCTGGGGCAGGGCGGGGTGGAGGAGAGCACCGAGACTTGGGTGTGCGTGCTGTGAGGTGATATCTGGCGGTCCAGTGTGGCTGGAGAATGCTGGGTATTGAAAGAGTCCAGAAAGGCAGGCTAGGGTGAAAGGCCTGGAACGGGAGACCATTGGATGATGGGGCACAGGGGCCACCCATCTGCCTCGCCGCTTTCCTAATAACAGCTGCTCTCGTTTGGAGAATGGGTCCCTCCTCCACAAGGCGGTTTAAGTGGGCCTGTAATTAGGTGCTGTCTTTATCCAAGTGGCAGGCACATGACCCAATTTAAGCCACTCACACTCTCCTCCCAGGATCCAAAATCTTGGAGTGAACTATCCAAGGGCAGAAAAAAGGCCAGAGCTAACGCCTTCCAGCTAGGGTGCCCAGAGGAGACAGCTGGGGAGTTCCTGCTATCCTCGTTCCAAGACTATTTCCAGCCACCTGTCCAGTCTAGAGCTACCTGGATTTCCCCTTACAACTTCTCTCTTTCTTATTAGTTGGAGCCATTTTCTGTAGCTTACAACAATAAAACCCAAAGACCCCTGACTTCTTAACATGCAGTTGTATGTTTCCTGTTTTTTAAATTTGTTTTTTATTTAAGTAGAAGTCTCACTCTGGCACCCAGGCTGGAGTGCAATGGCACGCTCATGGCCACTGCAGCCCTAAGCTGTTGGGCTCCGGCGATCCTTCCACCTCAGCCTTCCAAGTAACCGGAACCACAGGCACATGCCACCGCGCCCGGCTAATTTTTGTATTTATTGTAGAGACGAGGTCTCGCCAAGTTGCCCGGGCTGGTCTCGAACCCCTGGACTTGGGCAATCCTCTCAGCTCCGCCTCCCAAAGTGCTGGGATTACAGGTACGAGTCACTGTGCCCAGCTCCTGTTGTTGCTCTAACAAGTTATTACAAATTTAGTGGCTTAGAATAACACAGACTCATGATCCTACAGTTCTGGAGGTTGAAAGCCCTAAATCGAGGCGTCAGTAGAGCTGTGTTCCTTCTGGAGGCTCTGAGGGGACACACTTCCTTGTCTGTCTGGTTGCAGGAGACTGCCTACATTTCCTGGCTCACGGCCTCCTCCTCCATCTACAAAGTCAGCAGCCTAACCTTTCTCATCTCGGACTCTGTTCCTCCCTCCACCTGTCTTCAAAGGCCCCTTGTGATTCTATTGGGTCCACCTGGATAATCCAGGCAGTCCCCACACCTCAAGATCTTTAACCACATCTGCAAGGTTCTCTATCATACTGAATAACATAACATGCTCACAGGTTCCAGGGATGAAAGGGGCTATTATTCAGTCTATCACAGCAATAATGCCACAGAGTGAGACACAGAATTTAAGATGTGTAGATTTCGTGTGGTGGGCAAAGTTTGGCTCAGAGGCACTTATAGGACATGTGAGGCCTGGGGTCAACAGTGGGTGCCTGCAGGGCAAGGGCCAGTCTTAGCTGGGATCTCCACAGGTGCCCTACTTAGGTCCTTGTAAAAAATAAATTTCATTAAGAACCTATTCGCAGCCGGGCTCGGTGGCTCAGCCTGTAATCCCGCGCCTTTGGGAGGCTGAGGTGA